TCGATGTTATCTCTGTCGTAATATCGATATGATTATATTGCGAAATAAAATTCCCATTTTTTTTAGTTATTCTTTCTTTTTCAATTTTTCTCTTTCTGTTTGAAGTTCCACAAATAGTAATAAAAAAAATCTAAAAAAGGTGGTATATTATCTCTTTTAAAGTCTGGGCAGATACAAAAATAGTAATAATTTTCAAATAAATAATAATTGGACAAGATAATACGTTATGTTATTGCGCGCATAGTATGCGAATAGGCTAAAACCTTTAAATATTATTGTTATAAACAGATTGCATTTGCTTGTTTATATTAAACGCTGTTCATGTATTGTGATTGCAAAAGAGTATTAATAAATTTCAATATATGACAAATTTTGTAATTGCATTGCCGCAACTTTGAAAATAAATGATAATAATATATACTATTGTGTATTAAGTAAAAATGTATTTTGTAATTTCAGGAATATTGTTTTATTTATTGATAAATTAGTATGAAATTACAATTCGCAACTCATACAAAGGTAATGATGTTACCTTTGTTGTTCACTACGCTCTCGTTACCACTCAAAGGCCTTGCATTTGTTTAATTAAATAATGTAACCGTAACACTTATTACATCGATGAATACTGTACGCTGCCGAAATTTTAAATAATTTGCGCTATAGTTTGCGAGACGCAATAAAATAGGCGCTAATCAATCAATGCAGAATTTGGTTATTTACCTAGAAAATAACCAAATTATTTTCAAACTTATTTTCTTCGTTTGGGAAGTAAATGATGTGGAAAGTGACGCGAGAAAACTCTTAAATTATACTAAAATGTCCGCATAGTTTCAGTTCAGGCTTATCCAAAGTTAGACGACGGAGTATTCTTCAGCGAAATCTAGATACGAAAGTTCACGCCGCAAATGCAAGGAATATCATGAATTTTAGAAAAACGAGCTATCTGTCGACGATCGCCTGCAAATGCAACAGATGCCGTCTGTTCTCGCCACAACGGAAACAAGATACCACGGTTTTAGATAGATCGAGAAAAACTTTCAATAAAATTTAAAAATTAAATTAGGTGACACATGTCAATTTTAATTTCCAAAAAAATCTGCTAATTTGACGATTTCATTTCTTCGAGTGATTACACACATCTTGACTAATCCAGGAAGTTTCGAGAGTCATTCGTTATCCACGGATGTAGTTTCTCCCCTTTTTCTACCATGCGACGCCGAATGATTATACGATGGCTTCAGCCTTGCATCTCGGACTTTCAGCAACTCCTAAAAACATTTCTTCGCAGAAGTTTATCGTGATAAACTTGCCGACACAGCCGGACGGAGCCCATTGGATTCAGCGAGTTGCGAGAAAGGCTGTCGAGACTGACTACTGGAAAGAGAGAGAGAAAGAGAGAGTGAAAAAGAAGAGAAAGAGAGAGAGAGAAAGAGAGAGAGAGAGAGAGAGAGAGAGAGAGAGAGAGAGAGAGAGCAGCCCGCCACGAACGAGGGCTAATAACCTGGGAAGTTAATTACGGCTGTAAACTGCGAGGGGGTTGTTTGACTACCCCATCACACCGAGGGTGGCTGACATAAGGTGGCCTCGTTGCACTGGCCAAGTCAGTTCCCGCCTACGTCGCGTCGGTCCTTCAAAACGATCGCACATCGTGAAAAGCTTCCTCACAGCGAGAATTGACTTAAATACCGCCTCATCGCGCTGGTCGGAAAATTACGCTGCAAATAAAACTCGCGTAACGCGAACTCGCTTTAATTAAGAAATTAAGTGATGGGAGCACGGACGCGGCGGAAATTGGTTTTCGTCACGAAACGATGCGATTGTGAAGAGGTATCATTTTTGAGATCGGAAAACGATCGTGTTCTGATTTCCTTTCATCATATCTCGTATTTGACGCGTGCCGTAATTTCAACCGTGGAATTCTTTCCCGTTTATTATTTCTTCATTCAGTTATTAAATCATTCTGTCTAATGCGTCGGTTGTCTCTTCATGAGATTTTAGTATAGAATAAAAGTATGCATTACTCCTTTTATTAAATTTATTTATAAATTTAAAATATTTTAAATTTTGACATTTTTCTAATGATATTTATGCGTATTTTTACTTCCATAAATTTATTACAATAAAAAATATTTGCGTAAAAAAAAAGAAAATTAAATAAATTTTGTCAGCAAACAAGATCGTAAGATCAGGTTGTAAAATACATTACTGTATTCTATATTTTTTGTTGTAATGTTAGTAAAAAATTACTAAATACATTTCACTGTAAAGATACTCACGTGTGATAAGCTTAATCAAGTGAAAATAAAATGTTTATATGTATAGGTAAGTCTGTAAGCCAAAACACATTTCCCTGGGGCATGCTAAATATGCTAGCGGAAAGGTTGATAAATAATGTCGTGAGACAAATCCGGAATTTTGATAAACTTGAGAGCCAACGAAAGTCAACAAAGGGAATAGCGCCGCTAATAAGAATGATGTATCATCTCAACGAAATTGTCTTTATCGTCCGCTCGGATAATGAATGAATTAAGTTGGCCGTAAGCCATGAAGAAAATTACCCGTATAAATAACACCCGGAGACAAAACTTCACGGCCGCGGTAGCCGTATGAGAATTCTTGCTGACGGTAATATTTTCCGGCCACATCGCTGCATTCGTAACCGTAAATTATTCCGTAAAACGCAACGTTTTTGCCAGTTATGTTCTTTAGAGTCTGTACTTTTAATCCGCGACCAATTTACACGTTGTCACTTTATTACTTATTCCCCTCTGCATAACTCGCACGATTTCCCGCGTTCCCACTAGTTGGTTTAACATTCTTATCTGGTTAAACTTATCCAATTTCGTATAATTTAATGTAATTTTTAAAGATGCAGCCTATATATGTATGTAAACACAATCGTGTAAAATCTCACAGAAAAAAAGACGTGTTAAATCAAGACTTATATTCTTGTATATAAGCAAGAATCTATAATCTTCTTATAAGAATTTTAACTTTTTATTTCAACTTTTTTTCTTGATTAATCTACATATAGAAAAATATCTTCAGTCAAACAAGTTTTCATTATTTACACAATTTATGTCTCCTTTCATTATAGATTCTTGCTTATATACAAGAATATAAGTCTTGATTTAATACTTCTTTTTTGCTATGTAGCACTCGGATTTATAACCAGTGATTTTTGAAAAACTTATACTTTCATTCATCGCATTCTCATTAATTTATTAATCTTTTGTGTATGCAGCAATTTTTTCATCTTTTCTTTCATTGATATACCAATAAATAAAATTATGTTTATATTACATGAGAAAGATGTATCCGCTTCTTTCATTGAGAGATCTAACACGTGCTTTATGTCAAACGCGAATGTTGTGACAAAATGTATCAAAGAGTCGCAAAGAGCGCAAGCCGCCTTTCTAGGAGTGAGTGTTTCAAAGTACCCGACACTGTCGAGAGAGCAAAAGGGAATACGGATGTAGAAGGCTGTTTCTATCAAGACTTTTTCCATTTATCAAACGATTTTATAAAGAGACGTGTAAAACGGTATATATTCATAGCAGGAATTATTATGCAAGTTGGATCGTAAGACTATTTCAGATTGCATGATAGTGCTAGACTCCGCATAAAGAACGTAAATCTTTTTATTAATGTACACTTGACACCACCTCACGTATTGCTTCCTCTACTTGATTTATTCACTATCTATCAAGTATCGAATAAAAATACGGAAAAGCAATGAGGCATTGTAAGCCCGTCGTAGATAATAATATCATTTTCGCATTTGATGTACGATAAATTACTTGGCAACCTCGATTCACTTTTTTTTCGCAGAGAATTGTTCTCTTCCCTATTGTATCGGGACTTTCACCGCGTTCTTTATAGTTTCCCCCGGAGAATGTTGAACGATGGCACTTTATCATATTATAAGAGGAAGTTTATTTCAAAGAGTATCGCCATTGAATTTTAGAGATAGAAGCAAATTTTTCGTACCGTACCTGGAATACTCGACGCGCGTGTGGAACGATCAAAAATGCCGGCCTTCAACTTAGAGAAAAAAAAACGAAGGAATCCTGCAACGATGTCAACGTTATTTCGCGGTAATAGCAAATTTATTTCTGATGGAAAGCTCGACGCTCGCGCAAAGATTAAATTGACCCTCGCGACGATGCCGTATAAGAAAGTAAGAAACACGGGTGGGGGAACCACATATATAATTAGACATAGGTTGCGATAGCAGTTACGAGGCCAACACGCATAAACGCCTCGCGCACGCGAGATGGTGCGGGTTTGAATGTTTGCCATTTTTCAAGCGGCCGCGGATCGAAAAATCTTATCAGCCGGCTGAAAGACGTCTACGCGCGGCGATAAGCGAGAGGTCGGCGCTTTTCGCGGAAAAAAACCGCAAATCTCTTCCTGTCTAAGTAAGAGCAAGTTATAATAGCGCGAGGGTCGTGCAATTCCGCGAATTTCTTAAGTATAGTGTAACAAAATCGATTCTCGTAGTGCGCGTCGATGCGCCGAGTGGCCAAGACGTGTGTCAGAGAGCTCCCCTGTTGGGAATCTTTATGATAAAATATGTGGTGCACACATTATTATCTCGAAATTTGTAACGCGAAATAGCGTAATCAACGATACATCGCGAAACGTGCGGCGGACGTTAAATGTTTTATAGAATTATAGTATCGATTGTGCTTGCAACTAAGTTCAAGCAACGATTATTTCAGCAAATATTTTTATCAACTTATCTTCATAGGTTTACTTATATATTATAGATAATTATTGCATTTTGAGATAAAAGTAAGAATACGATGAAAACGGTGCATAAAACCATTTGATATCTCTTGATATGGACGTCATTGCGAAGAATGCAAGGTATCGTTATCAATTGATAATTTCTAGATGCGGCCGGACGTAACTACGAGCTTATCAATCGATAATGTAATATAGTATATTTTTAAATTTTTCAAAAGTTTATCGCTTGGTATAAAAGCAGTTGGAGAAGGCAATCAAAGTCGAATCACAGTCAATTATGTTTCGCTCGTGCGTTCTCATCGCGGCGTTGATCGCTTTGGTCGGCTCGAATAATCCGACCCAAAAAGCGGGTAAGGATTGGTATAAGAACAGTCTGATATACCAAATCTATCCGAGAAGCTTCAAGGACAGCGATGGAGATGGCATTGGCGATTTGAAAGGTATCACAAGCAAATTGGAACACATCGCGGACATTGGCGCCGATGCGCTGTGGATGTCACCAATTTTTAAGAGCCCGCAGTACGATTTTGGCTACGACATATCTAATTTTACTGATATCAATGAAGAATACGGCACCCTAAAAGACTTTGACGAACTCGTGGCGAAGGCAAAGTCTCTCGGGTTGAAAGTAATTCTTGATTTCGTACCGAATCACAGCTCTAATGAGAGCGATTGGTTCTTTAAGAGTGTCGATCGGATCAAACCCTATGATGAGTACTATATCTGGCATGACGGAAAAATATTAAATGGCACTAGAGTACCACCGAACAACTGGATGAGCGTTTTCGGTGGCTCTGCCTGGCAATGGAATGCGACTCGAAAGCAGTATTATTTCCATCAGTTTGCTGTTGGACAGCCGGATCTCAATTATCGTAGCCCTGCGGTGCAAGAAGAAATGAAGAAAGTGTTGACTTTCTGGATGAATCGGGGTGTGGAAGGCTTCCGCATTGACGCTATCAACCACATGTACGAAGATGCCCGATTATTGGACGAGCCGCCAAGTAACATACCCGGTTTACCAGAGGACGACTACGACATCTTGAACCACATTTACACGAAAAATCTTAATGAAACTTATGAAGTTCTCAAGACTTGGAGACAGTTGATGGACAATCATAACAAGAACTCTGACACGAAAATGATTTTGACCGAGGCTTATACGGACTTCGATCTTACTATGTTGTATTATAAATCAGGCTCGACGGTGCCGTTTAACTTCATGTTTATGGGTGATCTAAAGAACGTGTCCAGCGCGGCCGATTTCAAACGCTATATTGATCGTTGGATGGACAATATACCTAACGGTCCACAGTACGTTGCGAACTGGGTAGTGGGCAATCACGACAATCATCGCGCGGCTTCCAGATTTGGCGAGAAACGGGCCGATCAACTTTCCATGCTGGCGATCGTTTTGCCTGGCGTTAGCGTAGTTTACAATGGCGACGAGATCGGCATGGTCGACAGGAATTTCACGTATGAAGAAACCAAAGATCCTGCCGGATGCAACGCTGGACGCGAGAGGTATTGTCACAAACGATGAATTCGAATAGAATTCGATCGTTATGTAATGTACATAGTAGATTTCAATTCAAATCTATAAATATATCTTTTCATTTGTGATTCCTACGTTTTATAATATTATCTGGAATATAATAGTATAGAAGTATTAATTAATTATATAAAAAATATTATCACAAAAATTATTTGTCAATTTGTATAAACGTATTTAAGTTATTGTTACGAGAGTTGTGTGACTTCGTTTATTAATAATTAATTTGACTAATGCAAATCAATCAACTGTACACATCAAAAACTATTATAAAATTGTCGATGCTTTTATTATACTTACAATAGATATATTTATAACCTGATCGTCTATTTTCAGTCAGACAAAAAATAATTAAATCAAATTATAATTATATGCACAATTAATCATGCTATCTTTTAGATTTTGTTAACAAATCATAGTAAATCTGCAGAAAGAAGTGTATATTACATTTAATATATAGGTTTCTATAAATATATTCAAAACGTATGTTTTTATCAATTAATCTCAATGTCATTGCGTTTTTAGATATCCTCTGAAATCGCGAGATCCGGAAAGAACGCCTTTCCAATGGGACGATAGCACTAGCGCCGGCTTCTCTACTAACAAAACAACGTGGCTTCCGGTGAACAGCAATTACAAGGTCTTGAATCTGGCAGCGCAAAAGGCCGAATTTGTCTCTCATTATAGAATGTTCAAACGTATGGCGCAACTGAAGAAGAAGCCTGTCATCGAGCAAGGATCTCTGGAGACTGCGTTGTACTGTGCTGATTGTACTGGCACTGAGAATGTTCTAGGGGTGGTACGACGATACAAAATAAACGACGATAAAGAATCCATCGTGGTGGTCCTAGTGAACTTCGTCGATATCAAGGTTGCCACCGTCGACGTTGGGACCTGGTTGAATATTCCACAGCAGTTGAGAGTCTATGCACCTAGTGTGCACTCCAAACTGCTTCCAGGATCGCGCATCAATATGGCCTCCGTCACTCTGCCCGGTGCGGCCTCCATTGTGTTGGCCACAGAAGATTTGTTTGAGTAAATTTCTGCTTATTTTGTCCTAACGGATAACTCTTCAGTAAAGCGAACACAATTTCGGATATATATGTATAGACATAAACACATTTTCTGCGGACAGATCATGTAAATCTGAGAATGAGTATTTAATAAATGTATCTTGTAACAGGAAACAATTAAAAATAAATTTGTTGGTATCATTGTGTTATTATTAATTGCAACGAAAATCATATGATAGCATTTCAAATCAATGTAATTAGTGCTCATCTATATATCTGTAAATGTGTATTTTTGTTTGATAGATTAAATTTTATTTTAGCCGGAATAAGAATAATTTCTTTGATTGCTTTCTAGTACATGAGGTATAATCGCATCCAGAAGAATATAAATAGAAATTTATGCTAAAATAATATTTATTGAATTTTTAACTCATTGTCAGTTGTTTCTTGTTAGCTTAATAATTTAATTTTCCATTGTCGCTACTTCAAAATGTTACTTTATTTTTTCTCTACTAATTTTTTTTTAATAAAGTACATTTTTTAAATTAATTGCTATGGCAGAATTAAATGAAAATGATTATCATCCTACGGCATCCTATCAAAGCGCGATTTTAATTATTCTTTTCTATGTGAAGCATATTAAGGTACATAACTTTTTCACATTACATATTTGTACAAATTAATTCATCCATATAAAATATTTCTGTTTTGCAAAATTACATTTTTGTAGAATAAGTTCAAAACAATGTCCCAATTCACAATTATGTACTTTTTACTCATTATAACATAAATTTCAACAATATAATTACAGTAATTTTTTTTATTAAACGCAATAAATATTTTTATTAAAAATTATATATGGTGCTTCTTGATATTATAAAAACAATTATATAAGAAAAACTTATCTAGTATCAGACTATCATGACGTTATCATAAAGAATATAAATGTTATATCATTATCAGTAATTTCTGGATACGATTATTTGCAATTATGAACTTATCAAATAAAAATAATAATAGATATTCTAATTAGAGACATCTGCTATAAATTTTTTAAATGTTAAATTGTCGCATGTATTAGATTCGATAATCGAATCAGTCATTAATTATGTTTCGCTTGTGTATCTTCAGCGCAGCATTGGTTGTTTTAACTTTCGTGTCAGTCGAAAGAACGGGTATAAAGCATTAATATAGTGCTATACCAAGAACGATGATGTACCAAGTCTATCTAAGAAGTTTCAAGAACAGTAATAAAGACGGTATAGGAGATTTGAATTACATCACGAGCAGATTGATTGGTGCCGATGCGCTCTGGCTGTCAACGATCTACAGATACTAGCCCGCAATTCGATTTTGGCTACGACACCGCTAATTATATTGACGTCGACAAGGATTACGATGCTTTAACTAACTTTGACAAACTCGTGGCGAAGACAAAGGTCCCTCGGGCTGAAAGTAATCTTCGATTTCGTGTCAAACCACACCTCTCACAAACACAAATAATTCAAAAAAAGCGTCCAACGGATCAAGCCCTACGAGTATATCTGGCGTGACGTGTTAATAGCGAACGACACTAGGAAACCACCAAACTGGTTGAGTGTCGTCCAAGACCTCGCCTGGGAATGAAACTCGGCACGGAAACCATCTGCATCAGTTCAACGTTACTTAGACAGATCTCAACTATCGTAGCGTTACATTGCAACGTGAAATGAGGAACGTGTTGAATTTCTAGCTAGATCGGAATGCGGATGTTCTCGCATTGATGCTATCAGTTACTTGCTTGAGGATGTACAATACATTATCTAGACGAACCTCGAAAAAATGTGCCGAGAATATCGGACGATGATTATGAAACTTTTTGGATCACATTTACACGCGAAATCTTCTCGAGACTTAAGAAATTCTCAAGACGTGGAAAGAATTACTGGATAATCACTTAAAGCGACTGATATAAAGTGGTCGATTTCAAACGTCTCATCAATCGCTGATGAACAATATACCTAACGATCCTATATTGTAAATTAGATAGGAGACAATCGTGATAATCATCACGCGACTTCCAGATTCGACGAGTCGATCAACTTTCCATACCGGGCGACCATTTTATCCGGCGTGAGCGTGATTTACAACGGTGACGAGATCAGTACGCTCGATAAGAATTTCACGTACGTGGAAACCAAGGATCCTATCGGATGTGTCGCTGGACCCGACAGGGTATCATGAATGAAGATAAACTTGGACAAAATCACGTATCTAACAATAGATTTGAAATGATATCTATAAATGCATTATTTTATTTCCGAGTGTTCTAGATATTTTGCATTTTATAATATCATTATATTGTATTATGCTCTTTGTTGCAAAAACTGCTAATTAAATAATGTAAATATATTCAACGTAATCTCTATTATAAGAATTCCTAATTTAATTTGTTAAAAAGTAATTCTATTAACATTTCTGTTATTTTCATCAACAATGTTAAAATCAGTTGTACAACTTTGTATTGTACACTACGCGTTATTTATCTTTAAAACAAAAAAAGTATTCATATATAATGATTTACGCATTTTCAAATTTTATCAACTAATTTTGTAGTGCATTTATATTTCTTAAAGAACATCTTTTATTTAATATATAAAAATATTTTTAAAAATGTTCTTGTATCTAAGATGTTATCTTCTACTGGCGTTATATTATTTTTTATTTGAATGCACTTAAAGATATCATTTAAAATTGAAAGACCTAGCAAGAATGTCTTTTCAATGGTATACAACAGCACCAGCGTCAGCAAAAAAAAATATAGCTTTTGGTGAACAGCAATTATACAAGACTCTAAATTTAGTGGCGCAAAAGGCCGTGTTGCACTACAATGTATTCAAATCTTTGTCGCGTTTGAAAAGGAAACCCGTTGTCGAGCGGGGCTCCCTGCAGACCGTGTTGGTCACCGAGGAAATCCTAGGAGTGGTACGACGACACGGTGCATCCGTCGTGGCGTTTATGGTTAACTTCGTCGACACGCCGGACACCGCCGTAGACTCCAGGATCCGGATGAATATTCCAGAGCAGTTGATAGTCTATGTGCTCAGTGCATTCCGAGATGCTGGCAGGATCGCACGTCGATAGGTACGACTTGCATCACTATGCTCGGTTCGGCCTCCGTTGTGCTCACCACAGCAGATTTGGTTTAAACTCCTGCCTATGTTATGTTCACGGATATAACCGTCCGGTAACACGAAGTTTCGGACTTATGTATGCAACATACATAAGCCACTTATAAAGCATATTTTAGAAGTTCGTTTTACGTAAAACTGCGAATGCAAATATTCTAGAGAAAGAAATATGTTTTATAATAGATAGCAGTGAAAGTAAATTTGCCGAAATTATTGGTTGTCCATTAACGGTTGATTATTAATAAATGTGCTCGATTCCATATTTGTTGTTGTTTAATAAAATAATTTTTTAAAAGAAGTTACCCAACTTTACAAAATTTTTTCCTATATAAATCCATACTAAAAAGATGGAGATTGAATTCTTAATTCAGTTTTCTTCAGTAATAATGAAGTAATAATTTATTTTTTCAATTGTACAATTAATTTTTTTTTTATAAATACAATATTAACTTCGATTTCATTAATTTTTATTAAAGCTTTATGTGAGTTAGTTGAAAGTACGACTTTCTTTTTTCTTTTAATTAATAAAGACCATGTAATTTATATTCTGATGTGGAAAAATATTTCACAAAATAAAAACGACAATTATTTATTTTTATGTTTTTTATAAATAATAAAAATAATATAATTTTTATTACTAATTACAGTTACGGAAGCGAAAAGAATAACTTTTGTGAAATAAACGTTACAATAGATATCAAACGCGCGTGTTTAAAGGAGTGAGAAATTCTAATTATACCCGTGTATGCTCATACTTAGTATACATTTAAATTATATTCAGTTCACTAAATATCATAGTAGTTAATTATATTGCATTTTCTTGTTCGTCGCTTATAACATACGAAATGGCAACATGTTACAATCGCATAGCTCCGAATCATGATAACATTTGATTTTGTGGTGGCTGCAATAGCAACGTGAGAATGATCTTTCGATAAATATTAACCTTTGACAAATGCTGACGGTGCTTTATTCAACCCGATTTACATTACAACTTGCGAGCGTTGTTTGTTGTTTATATCTACGCGAATAAACCAATAGCAACATGCCGAATATTATTTTATTACTGGAAAATCTCTCTGTAAAATCCCAATACAAATTCGCTTTGTTGTTCGGCAAATATAACAAGACAAGCAGAATTTGGGCATCTGTCTGATTTACGATATCATTTAAAGCGGCTTAACAAAATACAACACTGGGTGCTGTGAAAAGGATTAAAAATTTGGTGCGTGAAAAATGCATCAACAGAATTAAAAGTTTCTTTCTCAACGTATCTACCATTATCACTTTTGAGACAAACCTGTGTAAACTAAGGTATTCTATTAATCATGTTATCACAATATTGTCCAAACTCCTCTAGAATACATAGTATAAAATCGTTCGTCATAGCAAAAGTCTGTGTGTTTAACCGAGGGGTGCTGACTGCTGAAACTTACATATTTTTCGCTATACGCATGCTAGAACGAAAATAGGAAAGCGGAGTGCGGAGGTAGAAAATAGATTTTACGACAGGAAAGCCGATAGTTTCGATCAGCTAAGGTAGCTAAGACGCCACGCGGCGAGAGGCAGAGCTTGCACGCACGTCCTCGTGCTGTGTGCACATGAGTAGTTGGAAAAATTCTCGAGTTTTCATGCCGACAGCCGGCACTATGCACCGGCGCGCAGCACCAATCACGCTGAGTGCACATTCTTCAACCTCTTCTGTCTCGGAGTCCTCTCTCCGCCGTTCTCTCGTCCCCGAGACAGCTAGAAGAGATGCACCACTCTCGCTCTGCAGCGGTTTCGTTTGTATATCGTGCATGTATAACGTGCATGTGCCGGCATACGCCCGCGGAGCATGGTGAATCGGCGCGGCGGAGCTCGCATCTTCAGCTGCGCTATCTCTCTTCGTTTTCTTCTTTCAAGTTCATACGACCGCGCGGACCGCGACTGAGAATATTTGGTATGAACTTTGTACTGTTCTGCCGTACCATGTTCCCCCGCTGGTAATTCACAAACTCTTAATTAATTCGCATATTCCCATTCTCATTTCTCCATGCGTGCCCTTTCTCGGCTGCACATTCGTTTTCTAGTTTTATTTTCAGCTTCCTGCAGGTAGTGGATCCAAGAACGTCCAAGCAGAAATCAGTCCGCGATACGGACAGCGGCAGCCCGCGGAGAATTGCGTTCTTTCCTTGCCTCCAGTATGAGCGCTCTTTGATATTTAAAAGTATTCTAAATGAAAAATGTTTGTTTGTATGCCGTGCGTACTGCAGTACGAGGCAACACGACTGAGATGGTGTACTAGGCGTGCCTTCGTTTCGTAGAAATTGTTTCGCGTTTCATTTAATAATGCAGCAAGACGCACGAATGCAATCTGCGATGTTAAAGATCGACGTATTTGCAAACGGACCTTTGTAAGGCCCTCTTCAACAGTAACAAAGTAACTGGCGTGCAACGGACAAAGCAATTATTAAAATGCTGCGGATAACAAAACAGAGAATACGTAAGTAGAAATGCATATGAGTGTTAGATTGACTGATTTTATTAACAGTCCTGGTAAAAAAATGTTATCTAAATAAATATGAGTGATGATATTAGGCAATATTAATAAATCAATATTTTCATGGAAATGAAATTTCATTTTATGATACGTTACGTCACTTTTATGATTACAATTGCGAGCTCACAGGAGGATTAGTAACATCTGAATAGTATTATTATGCACGATATGCTGTATGGGTAACTATTAAACACCACGCTATCTATGGCCATTCACGTATAGCGCCGATTTATAACGCTCGCCATATAGAGCCTAGCATAAAATAATCTCTGTCCGAGCATTAGCCCGACCTCTCCCCCTTTTTATGTGCATGTGCCGCGACTACCCCTTACTGAATGGGCGCCATATACTAAGTGGATTTTATGCACGCCCTGAATCCAATTATCCTGAATAATTTATCGCCGAATCGCAGACGTTAATGACATCAGACTGAATTAGGCAAGCTTTTCATAATGGTTCCATAAAAATAGCGGCGCATATGGTCCGCTCACCGCTCACCTCTTACCCAATAATGAATCATCACTGTCAATGGTGTAAATGGAGCTGATAATTACATTGTCCCGAATCATTGATCGATCGCGAAAATGAGGCTTTGTTTTGCATACCTCGTCGACATATTAATTAGCTTTTCCGTGAAATAATAATGTGTCAAATCCGATGTAGTGGCTAACGGTTCTTCCGTCCGCGTGCAAATGCAATTGAATTATTAATTGCACACGGAAGAATAGGAAGGAACGAGGATATCGGTCTGAGTAAGAGTAAACAATAGCATTTCTTTCCAAAGAAATTCAAAATTTAGGATACTTTTGAAACTTTGCAGACCCGTGTCACTTATCCTTAATCGTTTCACATATATTGCAGAATAATATACTCGCGAATTTCCGAAACGTTGTCGTTTTGCCAGAATGTTACAGGATCTGAACGTAACATATTTATTAATAATACAATTCAGTAAAAATGCTCTTTCGTATGAAAGTATGTACGCAGCATATGGGTTTGTTGCGCAACGTCAATTAAACTTTATTTTCATTGTTCCCGGTGATGTTGCTCGCGCATTATTGACTGAACTTTTGACGTATGATAACGCAATCGCTTTTTCCATTTCGATTTATAAATATCTCGTGTTTTTAATACGTTCATTGAACATCGGCACGCGTGTATTCGACGACATGAACGGAAATAAATGCGGAAAAGGGAGACGTGTGCGATGAATACGTGCAATGCAGTGCGTATCGAATACTCTTTTGAAGCGCACGTTTCTATCGTTTTGCCGTTTTGCAATAAGAGTCATCGGCTATGGCGGTCGATTTGTATTCAGGCATAGCGCGAAGGGAAACCATCCCAACATCGGATTAATTGGATTAAAAAAGAGAAATTAAATTGACAATTTATTTGTGTTTTTGTTTTTTTGCACAATTCGAAATTGCAATTTTCGTGATCTGGGAAACCTTGTCGTGCTTTACAAAGGCATCGAGACAATACAAAAATCTAATACACCTTTATATAGACATCTAATGGACCTGTAGGATGCCATAATTCCTCATATACAGTTTTCGAGACATCCTTTGATATCTCTCAAGCTTCTATATTATTTTCATGATACTGAAGTACTCGCAGTACATAATATAATGCGTTACATAGGTGTACGTGTGTTTTCTCTCTTACTAAAGATTTAGACTACTATATAAATTATCAATATCGACAAAATAAACTCCATACTATTTTCGAAGTTTATTTTGGGTATTTTCTCTCAAACGAACATTCCTTTTCGTAATAAATATCATCAGGTGACTTTTAAATTCGAAATTCTCACGTTTCCAGCATATTGCGACTTTACATCCATCCTCTAGTACGGACACGTAATTACACGGGTGTAGTGACCACAGCGTAAAATCACGGTCTATACTACATTTAACACTCGGGATACACTAAGCTAGTACACTAAGCCGGCGTAAAGTGGGTCGTGTAAACGTTGTCATTGACGTGCAATACTGTGCTATTCCGGTGTTGTATCGCGCCTCGCGACAAAGCCTTGATTTGTCCGCGATGTTTATGTGTGAGAAACAGAATAGCGTTAATCTAGGAGTCTCGGCAAAATCGAACAGTCGCAATCGTTTTAAGTAATATTGAGAGTACGAGGAAAAAAGATATGCAATTAATTGAATTACAATTGTAACAAATTACGGTCGAGATTACCTTGCATTTTATATCGATATAGCGATACGGCATTTTGACCATAACGGCTTTCCATTCAACGTGAATATTTTTAAGATTCATTCACATGTCCGTTTCACTCAAAGACGCTGTACTGTCGACTTTGAAAACAGCTGACGCGCAGCAATGAATAACGTTACACAGTGCTGAATGTGCTTTACTTCAAAATACATTTCTTTTCACAATGCGTTCCTGAGAACGTATTATCATGAGATAACGTCTAAAGTAAAACTTCCACTTCTTATACTCGATAAAATATCGAAGAAATTATACATACGCCATTTCAGTGGAATGGTATCGTATAGCAAGGAAAATAACATTAAGAAATATCTAAACGACGCGACGTCTGAAAACTTATCTAAGAGGCTATGGGTATGCTATAGTCTTTTGAGTATTTATATTATCTAAATGTGTCTTGAAAAAGCTCAATAGAATTCCTTGATCACAAAAATTGTTATTTTGAATTGTGCAACACATGAAATAAATTATCAATTCAATCTTTTTAACACAAATAAATTTTAGATAAATTCCATCAGCAATGGGATACGTATGATCAAAAATTTTACGTAATTACGGTAGGTATAATGCATGTTAAAAGGTTGCTCAGGATCATAATTATTTTACGGATCGTTTTAATTAAAATTTATATCAAATTTTACTCGCTCTCCCGCGAAGTTTCGAGCCTGGCGAGGCGCTTGGAACGTAATTCTAGCAGCTCCTTTAAATATCCGCCCTTTCATTCTGCGATCATTCTAAAAGGGCTTTTCCAGGGAAATGATGGTTCCACATTGCCGCGATAAGGAACGCGGAATGCCGCCGAGAGCGTTTCCTCCCGCGAAGGGAAATGTCATCCGTTCGCAATGAAGCAGAATTTTTCGCTTCGCTTCTTTTAACGGTAAGTTAGAATTTCTCTTGAGAACGGAGCTAAGCGAGCCCGAAATTCTTGCAGACGTAAGTGTACTCGGCGCGTCGTACCACGAAGAGGGAGAAACACGAAGCGGAGAAACATTAGGAACTATTTATCAGTTGACTTTCCATTCCTCGTGTACCTCCTTCTTGCAGAAATAGTGCTTGGTCAAGGAAAAAGATTTCGATTTAAGTTGTGATAGCCGGTTAGATTTGTGGAATAAGAGCTTCGAGAGGTAAAAGAAAAATTATATCATAAAAAGAAACGCTTGATTTTAGAGATTTATATATTTATCGGAGTCGCGGGCATTGGTAAAAATTCGTCGTTTCGGGGGGGGGGAAGCAAATAATTTAAAATGCAAGGTTCTTACGTACTAATCTTATTTTAACGTAACTTATTCATAAGTTTCTCGAATCACTTCAATATTGTTTGAAAGATTGATTAACGGTGAGTTATATATAGCGATTTAACGCAACTTGTATAAGAAGGTATATCGATTACAGCGAACGTAACGTTACACGCACGCTACACTTTGTGCATAGTAATTGAGATGCAAATATTACTTTCCTAACAATTATTACAAAGTTACTTACTAACAGACTCATTGTTATTTACCTGGCTTTGCGCGCCCTTCGAAAGTTGTCGGTGGGCGTTACGCAGAATATCTACGTCGCAACACCATCCTGCCACGCAAGAATTCTGCAACGAGAGAAAAGATTTTTTGTTTTAGATTGATGGAAACATAAAATATTATTTATTTGTGGAACGATAAAACAATAACATCACCGATTTCTCAATATGACAATCATAAATATACATCAGTTTTTATCAGATTTAAAATTATCTCAGCGTTTACCGCGCGTTTTTCTGATGTTGAATTAAATTTTACGCAAACTTACTTACAGCTACAGAGTTGACAAGTTTCGAGAAAGCCGAGATGGACTGAAAAGCCTGGTACGTTTTAAATTAAATTAGCGGTTAGGAATCAGCTACGCTTGCCGAAAGACTAATTGTAAAGAGAAAAGAGACAAAAAACAAAATAAATTGAAAAGGAAAGAGCGCGAAAGCACATATCTCTCCGACGCGACGCGACGAGATTAGATCTTCGTGCACGATCCGCGAGGTTCGCCACGCTTGAAATCGTATTAATTCTTAAAAGAATGCTGTACACCCGTGATTTAACTCTGCGAGTGCGACGCCGTGAACGTACGTGGACGATGCGATCGGAAATGTACGTAGCTCGCTGCGCAGACGTAACTTAACTACATTAGCCCCCTTCGTGACGGTCGGTAGGGTCCTTTGAGGGTGGCACGGGGTGCCGAATACCAATCAGTTATGTCAATTGGCCCCAACAAAGTAATGAATGGTAATTGCAAGCCGCACGTCCGTCTCGCTCTCCTCCCCCACCCACCCCGGTCCACAACACGCTATCCGCCCTTCGACCGAGTTCAAACACGCTTGCCCCCAAACTGCCCACCACCACTGCGCTCTGACGCTGGCGCTGACCCTCGCCGGTACACACGGTCCGTCGCGAATGGATCCCCGCGTCCGGTCACCATCGATTTTAAACCGGATCTAATCGGATTTTCACGCGGAACACGGGCAGGTGTCGGTAATCATCAGCGGATTCACGCGAATCAACGTATATCGGGATTTCGTATGAACCGCCGAAAAAGTTTGCGAACGATTTACCAGTGAAACGGCGCCAGACGAAAAGGGACTGTTTATATCGAAAAAGGGTCTGGCATTTTAATCAAAAGGAAATATACGACTGCATTTTGTACAGAGAGGAAAAATAATTACATATTAAGGAATTATCGCGAAATAAAAGTTGATATTAAAAATACGAAGTATTCTATAATATTATTAATATATTTTTATTTAAATATTCTATAAACTTCGCTGATCGTAATTTTTAATAGATCCTATTATTTTGGTTAATCTCACACTTCTGCAGTTCCTTTGGTGTTCTCGAGTCGTTATCAGAATTTCATCGATCGTTTAAAGTGGTCGTAATGTGGTCGTTATCAACAACCTCAAACTTCCACCGCTAACGGGCTTCTGCGGGCCGCTTTAAAATTCACTTAGTAGAAGTGCCCTTTTTTTCGTTACGCCGGAAGATTTAAAGGAGCAGCATGCGCTTTGCACCCAATGACGGCGGCGGCACGTTTTCCCGACGTGTGGCGAAAGAAAAACGAGGATACTCGCCTGCCTATCTATTATCTGGTAATTACGCGGCGTAATTACGAATCTCGCATGACTAGTGCCCTCCCCCCCCTCAATCGACCCTTCCGGTTGCTTTCCGGGAGAAGTCGGAAAAATAGGATTTCGCCGGTGATTATGTTTTGCATTTCCGCGCGCAATTACGCCTGATTGCCCCGTCGGCGAATTTTGCCCGGTGGTTTTTTCGCGCAAAGAACGCCCCGCCGTTCTTCTCGGCGAGAGCGACGCGACGGGATGAAGAAACGCTAAGCATATAGCTATACCGCCCCTCTCGTATCTTTATTACCGTTACTCAGCGGTATGGTAATACAAAAGGGGATCCCTCGGATTAAGCTACGCGGGCTCGTTTCCATGCCATTCGTTAGCGTCTACCGTCTACCCGTCTTTGAGAGAAGGTGCCGCGACGGAGTTCACGAGTACGTTTGCAGTTTACAATGCGACGCGATAGGACGCCGGTGTTTCGTATCTCTCTTCGCCGTTTCGACGACGAAACTTGTTATTAACCGTGCAGCGCGGTTATATATACACGGAAGGCACTCACTCCACGATGGTCCACTTGGCCGTGTGTTTGGATGACAAATGCTGTCGCTTAATAAAGGAGAACTATCCCCAATTATAGATACGCAATGTGCGTCGTTCAAAAAGACAATTTTAATATAATATCGCGTATATAAACGTACGAGGAAAGCGATCCGCGCTCTCCTTTTGTGCGCGTCGCGCGAGAGCGAGAGAGCAGGAATTTTATTTCGGAGTCGCGGCAATAAAAGGAATATCGAATAACGAAATTTCTATAAAGCTTCCTCGTACAAGTTTTGCGTTGCGTAATTGCGTCCCTGTTCTCCCTATCGTGTTTTTCGTTCCTGGGGGAAGTACATCTGCAAGTTTACTACAAAATCCACATTACGGAATCCGCCGCGACCGACATGCCCACACATCTCGTTTACTGATAAATTGGAAATTATACCTAGCGGGGGAATTGGCGTGCCGGAATCGCTCCCGCAATAATACGCATATCGACACGTGTTTGTATTAATTTGCGATGATAATGAAACAATTGTTTGCCGAAAGTTTCCTTCGTGCGATTCAACCGCTGTTTATGATTGAAATCGATTTATTTGCGCATTACCGAGAGTACATTCGTCACGTGCAAACACACCGCGCGCGCGCGCGAGCTCGCGATAACCGAAACTATGAGACGCCGGTAAACATTGATCGACTCACGAAATTGAAATTCAACGGCATATGTTGTTTACCCATTGTATCCCGACGCCTCCGTCCTCCGTTAATCAATTGCAGAAGATTCGCGCGTTATGCCGCATCCGCCGGTACATACCACAAATATCAGAACGAGGCCGTGTGGCTTCTCGGCAATACGAGTGTTCGTCACGTACCGCGAAAAAATCGTGCAGGTAAATGATAAAATAACGAACGAATAGCAATTGCTCACCTCACGGTCGCCCCGCCGTCGCCCGATGCCTCTTCCCAGGCCTCCTCCTTCCCTTCACAGACCTCCGCCGTTGTCGCATCTCCGTCGGAACACTCACGAAAAGATCTCGTTCACGCCCGAAAATATCGTCGCTAATGATCGCGCGACACTTCGCACTGCACTCCCGGTATTATTCTCGCGACGCGCGACGCGTACTTGGTTATACCGCGATAAAAGAATTACGGCGAAGAAGCTACGAACGAAGGTATGCGATCCGCTCGACGCCCGTGTCGACCCATAAATGTCTCGCAAGTAGACGCTCGAGAGAATTTCGCGAATCGCGCGACCAACTTCACTCGCCTGGAGCAACCGTCGCGAGAACGATACGTACTTGCTGCTTCCGCACACTTTTTCGCACTTTGAACAACGAACGTAATGCCCCGAGCAAAGGGTATTTACTTTTACGCATTGCGATATAATTCGTGTACTACTCCGCGTTACAATTTACAATCTGAAAGCAGCGATGGTAAAATGGGCCTGGGACCGCGAGCGGAGCGGCGGCGCGAACGTGGCTAACGGCCGCGGCGTGGCGTCTCGGCCTCGGCAACTTGAACGGTGGTGGGGATCAAGTGGGGTTGGGGTGAGTGCGTAGGAGCCTACCCCCACTCCAGGCCCAGCACTTGTTGTGTCGCGCGCTGCGCGCCGAGCCGCCCGCGTCCCGCGTCGCCCGCACCGCGATCCCGTCCCGAAATACATCAATCGGAAAAAGTTGGGGCCGGCTATTCGGCGATTACGCAAAAGTGTGATATATCAAATGTTATCGATCACGTTCTTTCGGATGATCTCGATCTCGTTTTTCTCAACCGTCAACTTGACTGGCGTCGCGTCGCGTGGCTCCGGAGTGAAGTTGCCGTCGCGTCGTTTTCGGAGCACGGATCTCGCGGCGACCGCGACGCGACGGTTGCTCCCGGCGAAACGGCGAGTGAAGTTGGCCGCGTGATTTGCGAAATTATCTCCGCCATGTTGTCGTCCACCTGCGGGACATCCGTGGACGGGCCGCGAGCGTCAGGTGGATCGTACAGTTTCGTTCGTAGCTTCTCCGCCGTGATTCTCCCGTCACCGTGTAAAAAAGTACGCGTCGCGTCGCGAGATTAATACCGGGAGTGCCGTGCAAATGTCGCGCGATCATAAGCGTCGTTATTTTCGTGCCTGAACGATATTTTCGTGAGTGAGTGCGACGGACGGACGACCGAAAAGGGGAGGAGGAGGAGGAGGCCAGGGAGGCATCGGGTAACGGCGGAGCGACAGTGGGGTGAGTAATAGTTATTCGTTCATTATTTTGTTGCTCCGTGGCGAATTCCGTTAATACTTTCTCAAGCGTGACACTTGATTCGCCCATTACGTGATATTCGTTACTCGTACAATACCGCTCGAGGTTTAATTGCGGCTACTCCGGCATATGCGAGAAGGAATATTACGTCACGAACGTTGCGTCTCTCTTATTCGCTCAATCGTTAATATTACTTGCACGATTTTTCGCGGTTATTCGCACGATTAATTATGCGAAAGAGTTGCGGAATGCGAAAATACGCAACCGCTCGCGGCGGCCGCGATTGTTTTAGTATTATTATTTAAAAATCAGATATGTGTTAAAATGACGTCTGAAAAATTTAACGCCGGCGCGGTAATTATTTACTTCAAGTATTGATTCTCTTGTGGACACCGTTTTAATGTGTGAAAATATTTATGTTACAGATCAACGCCAGGGTTTCAAACTCCGCTGCTGCGCATCGGCCGGTGAGTTATTTTTTTTATTCAATGTCAAGGCAATGTTTCGGCAGAAAGCTGCCGCATTCTGATATCACTGATACAGAGCCTTACCCGTATTTTTCTTCACCGGACATGATCGATCGTAGCCGGTAGCCGGTGATAACAAACGCCCGAATATACCGTGGTATAGCGTGTCACGTCGTGTAAGTGTGCGCGGTTTACGTTACATGCAACATTTACACATTTACATCCACACGTGTTCCCACCTCCTTTTCCCACCACCATAGGTCCGACTAAATCTTTGAAGGAGCAACGACAATGCTAGTAAGTGCAGCCCTTCGTTCACAATGCCCATGCAGTAACAAGGTTCGTGTAAAGTGCTCGCAAATCAGACTCGATAAAATGGTAATCGCATCCACGGTAGAAGTTCGCTCGAACGTCCGCAGGGAATGGGAGGGAAAAGAAAAAGCGACCGTAGGTCCTTACTCGCTGACAGTTCTTTCCAACGCGCCGCCAATCAGCGTTCCCGACGAAGTTTCTTTCTGCCTTCAAAGAACGCCGCAAAATGAAAGGGTTGATAGCGCATTTCGCGTTAGCGAGAAATAATTCAGATTTAAATGCACGCGGATTAAAATAAAAAACGAAATAAATACGCAGCGGCTGCAATGGCTGCGAGGTATCGAACATCGCAAAATTTGACTAAGGGGGGGGGGATATAATGAGAAGCTTGTTACCGATCGTAGTGCGAGATCGCTGATCGTATAACATGAGTTTCATGCAAGAGTTCTCGTGTAAGAATGTAAGACAGGCGGGTGCCGTGCGCTCACGTGAGCCGGGAAGGAGAGGGGGAGAGAAGTGAGCTTTTATCCTCGCTGAATGTCGGCAGGAGGAGTTGAATGAACTTCTAGAAAAGTTTTTTTCGGTGATTTATTCGTGTCGTACGCGGCAGGATTTACATCCGCGCGCATTCGTTTTTCTTTTGCGGCGGGAGACCGCCGGGAAAGCCACTTTTGCTCCGGAAAACGGTGTACCGAGATAGAAATTCGGTTCCAATTCTATTCTAAGCCGGGCTGCACAACTAGCTAGCTCTGTAGCGCTCGCGCGCGCGCGGTTGTACGGAAATACAGATCCAATTCACCCCTCAACAGCTCGCTATAGACGCGTCCATTTTACGTTGACGCGCGAATAAAGGCGAATGACAGTGAGCTCACTCATTATCTATTAACGACTCGCTTGCGGTTGATAGGCTCGAGACATTGTTTCGTTCGCACGTCCACCCATTTCCGTGAATAATTTAGAATTTCTCAAATGGTTCAAATTCAAAAACGCTGTGCTCGCAACATTACGAGGCAAAACAATCAGTTTTTACTTAATCTCCGCGTGCTCGTTTCGCTGAAATTTTAACCGAATGTCTCATTAAAAATTTGTATATTGGATATGTTAATTATGCTGTGTAATGAAAATGCATAATCCTTTATTCCCAACGTAATGAAGTTTTCTTTTCATCCGATTATCCCACTTCATAAATGTATTTATTGTGTAGCTCATCAGTACTGTTAATTTCTAATTATACCACATAATAATCGCTCTACATATATTGTACGTGACGGGAAACGGGTGTGGTTGTGACGGCTAATTTCTGGATTAGGGAAGTCTTTCTCGTGTTATAGTGTTAAGTCAAATAGATTCTCTCTCGTGACGTAACAAAATTACTGTTTAACCAGCAACAAACATATAATTCACAATAATGCGTGTAGTTAGTTTTTATTTCCTTAATTTTTATAAAATTACCATCTCCCGCTCTGGCTATTACCTATAAAATTACGTATGTATTTTAGTAAAATCTTTAAAACACTTAGAAATTATTTGTGCTTGAGGCACTTATTTATTTAATTAGAAAAAACTAGTTAGATGTTAGTTAAATACGATGAGTATGTATATAACAGTGTAAGAAATCTGATCCAGCTTATATACAGACAGTAAGTAGATGGTTCTATCGAAAAACAGGCTCCGGTGCATATCTCGCTACATAGAACTCAACTTTGTGTTATTACTTCTACCTGCAAGCTTTGGATCAAATGTCAGTGGCTCCGCGGATTTCTCGTTACGCGTTCGGAAACAAAGAGATCGTTAGGACATTTATACGGTACGTTGCATCGATAGTTCAAGCGAAAGCTTCTTAGCCTACTGGTGCTGCAGTCGGTGAAGTGCACCAATCGATATGCGGTCGTACGTCACCGACATCTGTGCGCTACATCGACTGATGCAGCACAAGCTTTGTCTTGCCTTTCCGCGGATATTTCGCAGGATATTTCATCTCGAGCTTCTCATATATTCGAAGGCGAAACTCAGATCAATCGATTGACATTCAAATACCCCGTGGCAGAGCGAACTATCTCAAAGGAGCCAGACTTCGCTCTTGGTTCGCGGAATATTTTGTCAGCATATTCATGTAATTTCATATATATAGTTATTATTTACATACTAACGGAGATCAAAAGTAATCTCTTACATCCGGAGATCCTTTTTCCTTCTTGATTTATATTCGTCTTATTTCGGGAAGCCTTCAATGTCGAATAAAATTGTACCGTTTTATACTTATAAATATTAATATTGTTATAAATAAAAAATAATTATTTTCATTGAAACGCGCATTTTTCTGCGATATAAAAATCACGAAATGTAGGCGTGAAATTTATATTCAGGATACACACGTTTGAGGATACAAAGAAAAACATACTGCAGCACGCTGAAGTAGCAATATCGGCGAGAACTCCCATATGATTATAGCTGCCCTTGATAACCAATATCCGGTGTGCGAACCTCTATTGCTAGATACATACACGCGGGATGACAAATATGCTCTTACTATACGCCTATGGCGCATATATTATTCATAACGCTATTATCATAACGCGATGTCGACTGGTTTATGAAGTAAAGCTGCCACGCTCGATAGTTTGGAAGTGCTCCAGATGAGAATAACCACGAGGATCATATCTCGCGATTAACAAGACACGGTGCGACAGTTTCGCGTGCTAGGAGTTTTTTTTTTCGAAGTATCAAAATTCGAGTCGCGTGCTATTTCACGCGAATGACTCAGCTGTGTTTTCTTACACATTCTCGCGATAGTAACGGAGATAATAATTTTTGGGGTAATTTAATGATGCCTGCATATAAAGAGACATTAAAGAGACTCCACGCTTGGGTAGCATGTCTGGATGATTTAGTGCGATGATAACACGGATCTCGGACCTGCGTCGTATTTCATGAGCGGTGATGATATGCAGTACGGATGGATGGACGTGGCCACTTTTGCCGGATGGACCGGTAGGAAATGTCCATCGGTGAAATGAGACTAATGTACTTGGAGCACGTGCGCCAATGATGACCCACCGTTTACGCTCTGTATAATACATACAAAATATGTTATGCCGCGAAGTAGCTTCGCTATAGAAAAGGGTTTTTGTGGCAAATATTTGTCACAAGCCCCAGACTACACAAAAATTTAACCTAAAATTATTCAAAGAAAAATTAGAGTAACATGTCTAAACTTATAGTTCTTCTTATTCGTTTTCTGCATTTTGGCGTTTTACATGAGTTTCTACTTCACCGAACTGTTAAAGTTTCGAAGCGGGAATAAGCCAAGTTCATAATTTGCAAGATCCATTTTAAGTAGAAAAATATATAAAATAAAATTTAAAAATAATGAACCTTTTTGCTCCGAGCTTTTCACGTATCAGTATAGTAGCGCCCGTTATATTGTTGACCATCAAAATATTAAATATGTTAAACATGAAATTTTTAAAAGCTTTTTTGCTTCTCATATTAAACGTGCGATAGAGGAGTAAATAAATTTTTATCTACACAGAACGTTACAGAAAACAAAGTATGAAAATACTATACACTATTTTTTTTCATAAAAGAGATAGCTGCGTTTTTCTATTCCTGCAGTTGCCCCAGGCATATATTAAGTTGTAAAGTTACTGCCAATAACATAATAAAACACTGTTTGCAGACTGTCTACCTACATATATGTATGTATATACATATAGGTATATGTTACGTAGTTTTTAAAAATGAAATTACTTTGAATGTTGTCACATTGCGCTATTTGATTGTTTTGTTTTGCATGAAATTCAATTTTTAATATTGCATTTGAAACATATTACTTAAAAAAAAGTATAAAAGTAAAATATGTTTGTAAAATGTAGTTTTCAAATAAATAGCTTTTAAAATGCTTTTAAATTGCGTATTACTTGTTTCAAGTATATACAATTATCTTTATATGTAAATAAATAATTAATCTGATTAACAAAAACGCGACTTGAAAGGAAAACGAAGCTAAATATATAATTTTCGTCATTAATACATTCACAGCTTTTAAGTTTTCAACCTTTCTCTGGCCCTAGTGTGAAATTAATTTTACTCTTTAGTAATTGTGTATGAATGGAAGGAATTGCTCAACAAAGAAGTAGTTAGTAATTTTTAATTGTGACTGAAGGATTAACATTCTATTTTCCGATACATTTAATTAACTTGTACATGAATCTACATGAAAACATGAATACTATTTTAATCCGATTAAGTTCAATTATCCAGCTTTTTGTTATAGCAAAATGAAGTACACTTTATCAACCGGTGTAATAATTAATAATTAGTAATAATGATATTATTACCAATATAGAGAAGATTAAAGTGATAATATTAGTTGAATTTAACTGATGTTACCTTGCATAATAGAAAAATAAGATTTACTTCACGTTTTGAATGGTTTAAAAGACATAATAGCTTTATATCTGGTAGATCAATTTGAGATAATAAAATATAAATCTGCGAGAGTTAAGCGTAAAATAACTTTTACGCGCTTTTAAATCTTAATGTGAAATCAATCCACTTGTGCTTCCGTGACCTTTTGAAATGGAACTCGGACGGGTTCGAAGTGAGAGAAGATTCATTGCGATAGATTTTAAGTTTATTACTCGTGAGTTTTCGGACAGTGAAAGTGCAGGAGTGTGGTAAAATTC